GCACGCAAAATGTTTTCTGCAGTAGTAATAATATTTTTTGTAAACCACACAGATTGAGAATTCTTAGAATGTACAACATTACCTTTGCCTGTTTTCTGTAACCTTGTTTGATCTACAGACATGAAGCCAGGGTTTGAAATTGACTTCAGCTTCACAGAGCTTAGATGTTTATGTCAGATGTTTTATCATACTGAAATTTAATAATCAATGCTTTGATTTTGAAAGGGTTTTATTAGTATATATCACATGTTTATGTCAAATGTCCTTGAATGGTATCCTGTCTTGGTATAATTCCTGAGACTTTGATATCCGATGTGACATCATGATTTAAAGTAGTGATCTCTCCCAAATTGCCTCTGTATAAAGCTCCTAATAGCTGACTGAGACCATCTAGTATTGTTCAAGATTTGAGCTTCACCTAAAACCATACCTTTACCCTAGCCCTTTGCAGAATGAATAATCCAGTTCATTGCTTCAGGATCTTATTAAATTGCTCCAATACTTCATGCTTTTCTTGGAGAGTGGAAGCTTTCTTTTTGTTGCCCTATTCCATAACAGACCAAAGGCCCCCATACTGCCAGTTCTGTTCCCTGAGCAGGCTCTGCACTGGTGGCAAGTCAATCAATTCCTTAGGGAATGCTTGCCACGCAGTGGCAGCCCACTGCTCCCCAATGGGATAGGTTAGGGGGATCGGTTACTTTCTCCATTGTGAAATTAATCAAGTTTAATAAAAAAAATTTAATAATCTAATTTTGTTTAATAATTGCTATGAAATAAAAATAGATTAGTAAATTGTTGCCATAACAAGAGTAGCAAAGTTTGTCAAAAACATGATTTCTATCAGGTCAAAGAATTTTGTTAAACAGCTTCATAAGTTCTTGTCTTAATATGCTGTACAATCAATAAGAGATCTATGCTTAGTGGTTCAATATTATAATAAGAAATCCATGTCATGTTTTAATGACTGTAACCTGACATCCAACCTTTCGCTCTATTTTACAAGTCAGGTCATCTTATGAAAAGTGATGGTTTTTGCTCCTTTTAATGTTCATATTTTCTACAAATGACAGAGCTTGGTATTTTTTAAAGCTTGATATAAATGTTGGGAGCCATCTTTCAGTCAGCTGGCCAGGAATGGGTAGCAAAGGTGTGGGAAGGGCATCACTACATTACTCAAAATGAAGAAGGAACCTAAACCACAGCAATGTTGAGATCTGTAGAGATTTTAAAAACATTGGTCCGACCTGAGACCACTAAGTCCCTGTTATTGAGATGTTCAAAGGGAATAATGTCACATAATATAGTTCCTAAAGCTCTCCATCACGTCAGATAACTTAGATTTTGTGTAACACCTTAGATCTTAGCTCACTAATCTGAAACTGAACGGTTTACTGAATGTATCTTTTACTGTCTCTACACATCATCGGTCTATTTCACCATCTCTGTCTTTTTTTGGACTCCCTCCCCTCTTCTCTGGTTTTCTTTATGTGTGGCAGAAGACAGCTGCAAAGTATGGATTGAGGAAGTAACCTATTTTGAGACTGCTATGTAATTAATCATAAGCTGCAGCCAGCATGTAAAAAGGCTTTTTCCTCCAGTTTTTCTCACCCTCTTCTCTGTACTAAATTATAATCCTCTCATTTTGTTTTATTTTTTCTTATGTACCAGGGCATCTTCATAACAAAATTATCTTCTTCCATGCTATTTTAATTTATTTTTTGTCTTGCATATGAAAGTTTAAAATGATTCCTCAGAAAACTGAAAAAAAGGCCTTAGAGGCAAGAAAAACTGTACTGGTATGAATATTTGAAGACAAAACCAGTCGTGAATGTTTATACATTCAACCTGAATGTTTTCTTTATGGATCTGATGTTGGTTTTGTCACACAATCAATACCTGGAATTTTAGCGCCATGCCTGCCGGCTGTTTTTTGTGGACAGATGGTGAAGAACACGGCCCCATTTGGGTGTAATAAGTCGTTACTAATTGTCTGCAGATTGGATCAATGTCCTGTTCTGTTGCAGCTCGGCTCACTGTGCCGCCACAGACAGCACGACAGCCATATTTCACTCCTTGCAGATAGCAGCTAGAGGACAAGTCCTTCTTAAGTCATTATTAAGGCAATTTTGCTGGGACCAATTTAATTAGGCTGAGAAATGGTTTCTTTTGAGGAGGAAATTGGACCAATCGAAGGACGCTTTCAGAGTCATTTTAAGGGATAAGCACATGTTCCGTCACAGTGGAATAAACACAAGCCATCAAAATGGTCTCAAATGACAAACAGCTTCTGAATGACAGATTTTTCTCAGCAGTTAAAGAAAATGCTGTGTGTCTAATTAATGCAGATTGGAGCAAGAACCTGGGCTAATTTATCACTCTATGGATTGATATATAGTAGAAGCGGCCATGAGGAGCTCACCCCTGTGGCCCCTCAGAGCTCGCTTCCTCTGACAGCTTGATGAACTAGTCCTCTGCTGTCAGCTCTACTGTGTTTACCACCACAGTTTTTCTTTGGTGGTACGTGTCTGTCTAACTGGTCTCATTCCTGCAGTCTGAGACTTTATAGAAGGGCAGCTTGACCAGATGCACACATGCCAGATAAATGGCCACTGCCCTGCTGACTACTGACAAAATCATCTGCAAGCTTTTGCTTTTTGAAGCGTTTTTTTCATTGCTGTGCTAAAGTATTTTTTTTTTCCATGTGTATTTTATAAAACAATTAACTATAAATGTCTTGTTACTGTTGGAAGGAGATTGACTTAATAATTTTTTTGTACGATTAAAAAAAATAATAAAGTGCAAAATTGGGGAAAAAAACATGCATGTTGTTAGGTTTATTCTTTATACATAATGTGCATTGTTATTTTGTTAGCCAGATTAGACAGAGTAGAAAGCCTTCCTTCACATGGATGATGTCACTGTGTGTTGGAGGCAATGTAAGCAGGACGGCCTTCGTGTCTTTAAGAATACATATGGGCACATCTTGGAGCCGGACTGATAAAGGAGAGCTATGTGTAATCCTGGGGTAAAGAGGCAAGATGCATTAAGTTCAAGCTAATCTTCTTCTAATGTTCAAACTTAAATGCTGGGATAAATACAGATTGGAGCTTCAGTAACTCTACTAAATGTTTACAAAAAGAAAGTCTTCCTCTTGTAAAATCTTGCGAACGTACGAATGTATTGCTTTTTCTGAAGCCACTTAATGATGGTGACCTTTGTTGTTTCCTTTTGTGAATATTTTCAATTGTTATATATATATATATATATATATATATATATTCATTTATGTTCTGCTTAATGTAAAATGTAAATTTCAAAATTTTTTAAAAAGCTTGTTTTCCCAGTTTCTGATATAATTCATTACTTTCCCTCACTGCCTCAGCTCCCTAATCTCCCTTAAGTGTTGCCTAGTATGCAGTAATTAGGCTCACCTGTTATATATTCAAGTAATGACATCTTTACAATTGATACCTCATTTTTTACTTTGAAAGATTGACACACATTTCATTTTTCTGTTAAACTTGTTGTCTTAGAGAGAGAGAGAGAGAGAGAGAGAGAGAGACATGCAGCAAAAGACTCTAAATCCACTGTGTAATAGACAGAGGTGGCAGATTCCAGCCATCATAGTTTTTATCTAATAACACTTCTGTATCTAGAAGCCAAATTAATCAATTGAGTAATGCAACATCAAACCTACCAAGAAAAGGCCGAATTACAAGCTGATGAGCCAGGTAACAATAGCCCTAATCACAGGAACAGCTTACCTTGTAAGCAGGATGAATTGTCTGAGATTTAGGAATTCACAAACTCCTGAATATGCATCATCGCAGGAGCCAACAGATGCGTGAGCCTCGATACAGAAATATTTCAGACCAATGAAAGGCAGCGACGTGTACGACGTCAACACGTCAACTATAGGTGAAAAGCTGAAGCAAAACAAAGGTGGCTGCTCTAGTTTTAGCTGGAATAGCCTCAATTTCCTCAGTGATTGGCAAAAAGTTTGACATGGGAGGCATGTGGCTTTATTTACCAAATAAGCTCAAAGAATCGTAATGAATGTCCCTCTATTTGCAAACACATTCGACAGGAGGCTTTTCAGATGGATACATTCAGTTTAATTTACATTGGTTTATGTCTTGGTTTAAAGATGATAGATATCGCTCTAGTATGGCATATATTATGGTTGGAAATGTGTATGGATATAGACATCCTTTCACAGATGTAGGTGAATAAGTAAACCTCCACCCAACTGAGGATATTTCCAGGCTTTCAGGTGAAATGCAGTCTGTGCTTTGCTCAGCATCCCCCTGCTCATACATCATTAAGGGAGTCTGGGTGTTATTATGGAGAAGAACACAGTGTATTAGATGGCCTGACAGATTGTGTCAGGGCCCTGCAATTCTATCAGGAATGGATAATAAAAGGACACTTAATCTAACTATTTCCCAACAGTCTTTCTCTTTACTCGCAGAATTGAAGGATACTCTGTGCTAATCCCTCTGTGCTCTAACTGTCCTTGTTGAAGTCTCCTTCTCACAGGTCCCCTTCTAAAATCTGAGAGCAGTAATTATAACTTAATCCTTTCAATCTCCACCAATACCTGCCAAAACATTTCCCTTTGAGGGAACACAGAGTCATTGCGCGCAACCTAAAAATTTTTTTTGCACACATGCAGCAATAGAGTATCATGCATCACAAACAGATTCTCCGTCCTGCACGATTCATTGATTTATTTGGACCTTAACTCGTTGGCTGCGTTTGGTGAGAGAAAAACAACAAAAGGCAGGGAACTCTATAAAACACACTGCATTGCCTTGTGGAAAACCTCAGAGTCAAGTCAACTCTGCTGCTCCATCTGTAATAGACAGCATAGATGGTCTGTCAGCATGAAGGGAAGACTTGTTGCAGCTCATAATCTTGTCAAAACCTTTACAATTGTAATTTTATTTTTTTATATAAATGGAAATTGTTGTTAAATATTCTTGTTTTTCTCTTTACAGTGGATAGTAACCCATGCCAGACCAGCCCTTGTCTCCATGGCGGGAGCTGCCTGCAGGAAGGTGACAGCTATAGCTGCTACTGTCCTCAGGGCTACACTGGAGAGAACTGCGAGATTGGTAAGGCCCTGTCAGGTTAGGTCAGAGTGCAGAGACCTTGTTGGAAAACAGCTGCATTTGCATGCTGTGTGATTGTAGCATGAGAGGAAACAATGACAAGCATATGCTGAGGCTAACATCTGTAGCTCACTGAGCATCAGATGTGTGGGGAGAAATGCCTGCTGCTTTCTGCTATGTGTGTTTCCAGTCTGTATTTGGAACCTTGGACCCAACCTCAGAGAAGCGAATTGTGTGCTGGCAGGTCCACAAGTTTTGGATCAAGCTTCCTGATTGAAAATGAAGAGGGAATATCCATATGCTGGGAGTCATCCGTGTGTGACAGAGACTTTTTGTGGTGTAGAGGCTCAGCTGTGTGTGCGATTATTTCCGCATGAATGTGTGTGTTTTCACCTTGTGCCCCGTGAGAAGTAGGCAGCTCATCTTTCCACTCAACTGTGAGATGTGAGAGTGTGGCTGTCAGAAAATGATGGTGCAGTGATTTAGGTGTATCAGGGAATGTGTGGGTCTGCATGCCTGTGCGAATATGTGTGTGTGACAGAGCAACGCAAGGACAGGCTGTCCACAGAGGAGCTGGGAGCTCAGTGAGGGGTGGAGTAGCTGATTAAAGTGCAGTGGCAACAGGTGGCACAAACCCCTGCAAAGAGTAGAAAGGTAGGAGTGTATGGAGACACACAAACATCTGAATGACTTATGGAATACTTCATTTTATTCATCTAGCTTTTCGTTAAATGGAGCCTAGGCGGAAGTTCAACTGAAGAAACTGATTGCTCGCCTACATCCACCTACAACACAGCCAATCAGCTTTGAACCACACCTCCACAAAAGCCAATCAGCATTCAAAGTTCATCTTAAAAGGCCTCTGATCCGCATCTTGTCTACTACCTAGTGCACAGGCTGTGGATACGCTGTGTGACTTCATTCAGATGACCCCAATTCAACCCACCTCCATGCCCTCCTCCACCATCAACTTATCAGTTTCATTCCTCCCAGACTCTTACTGCATTCCACGTCTCATTTCAACCGGTCTGGCAGAAGACCACCATGTTGAGCCTGGTTCTGCCAGAAGTTTCTTCCCAACGGGGAGTTTTTCCTCACCGCTGTCGCTTCATGCTTGCTCCTTATGGACAGGTTCTGTCAACCTGTGTTATCCAAACTGGACTTCCATCTTCCAGGTCCCTGAGTGAAGCTATAGTATGACTCACTCAGTCCACTGGATCTTCCCATAAAGCTCAGCATAGCTTCTCACTAACCAGCAGTCTACAGACTGACCAACTTCATCTGTCTCCACTCCACCACAAGTTTCAGGCCTGAGGGGGAAACAGCCCTATTCTTTACTCCTGTTCATGCATATCCATCATAAATCAGCACTACGTTTTCTGCCGAGGTCTGAGCACCAAAGACCAAGTAATTGTATCAATACATTTCTTCTAATTGTCTTTTCTCTTTGTGCGAGTTTTCTGTTTGAATTAGAATAAATCCAAAGACCCAACATTTTGCCAGTTCATAGTTAAAAAGAATGATCTCAAAATTCAGTTCACACCAATGGAAATAAACCAGCTCGCGTTCATATTTCACTTATTCAAAAAATTAAGTAAGTTCTTATAACCTATATATGAACTAGTTCAATTCACTTGGTAAATAAAGCCACAATTCTCCACAATAGAACCCCATATCTCACCCTTAAAATTGCGATCATAATTTATAGAAAGAAATGGAAAATACTGGATGCAGTGAATGAATACTGTATGTGCACTGAAGCCTTTATTTACACAGAATTTCTGAAACTTACAGCTATGAAGGACTAACTCTGCCATATTTAAAAATAAATACAGAAATAAATAAATGCTCAA